TTTGCTGATCCATATTTACAGTAGTTTTATTTGTCATCCAGCAGATGTTTGGACAGTTAGAGTCTCCTCTGGGAAAGTGCCGTGTGGTTTGAACAACTCAGTAGTTGCTCGATGAATATTTTTTCATACTGTCCTGGGGGGTCTGTAACAGCTGCTGGTTCCATTTCTCTCTTTGTTTTTTGATAATTGAGACTTACCCAAATTATTTTGTGGCTACCCTCAATCTTGTCAGATTGAGGGTATCCAGGTCTGTAAACATTTTCAAAGTGGCTCATTTCCTCCCTCTTCTTTGTTTTACTTCTTATTCAAAGATGCATACATCTATTAGAAATGGGCCACCAGAAGGGCTGGCAAACACATTTTAAATGGCTGTTTCTCTCAGCGGAAGCATGCGGATACAGGATGCTGTAACTCGGGATCTGCTCAGCTACAGATCACCGATTTCTGATTTGAAGCATCCTTACACATTGGAATGCAGGAAGTCTTCTATTGACTTCCTTTCGTACGAATGCTGCTGCATTCTCCAGACATTTCGCTGCAAAAGTGGGTTTGAGCTACACATGCATCTGTCGCTGATATTTGCAACTCCATCATTGAGCGTGTACATTGCCCAGACAACTGGCTCTCGATTCAAAAGCACTGATCATATTAATTGTGCAGGTGCCCCAATCAAAAGCACGGAGCTATCTTGACTGCAGGTGGTAAACGAAGAGTCCTTCTGTGTGCAGAGACGAGCAGGTAGTTTGGTTCCTTTTTGAAAAGGCAGCCCTGATTGTTACATATAATTCTGCATTCAGACCCTCCCTTTATCATGTCTCATTCACTGTTCCAAAGCAGAGGCAGACATAATACAGATCTGTTCTGAATAATTTTTGTGGCATTGGCTTATTTGTACAGTGCCTTGCACAGTGGCCAAGTCTTTCTCCCACTGCCAGAAACTACTCACGAACCTCTTGCCTATGTTAGACATTTGCACAAAGTAAAACAATGTGGATAAAGTTCCCTGTTGTTTTTATGCATTCAGCACTGATGTTGAACTAGCCACAAAAATCTCCTCATAGGCTTCTCCAACCATGTGATATGCAAGAGAATTGCAAAATTAACCATCTTGATTTTTACAAGCTCTCCTGATAGTCCAGCTTTGTGCAGTTGGACCAAACAACTGGGGACCGGACATTAACTTTTTTATTTTAAATACTCAGAGTGGCTCAACCGTTAGACAGAGGGTGATAGCTACTTCAAGCAGTAGATGCAGCCCTCAGCAACACAGAAGTGGCCTTCCAGTCAGCCTCTGTACTGGAATTAGAGGCCAGGCTACCACATTATCCTTTCCCGCAGGCAGCAAAATGTCTGGGGCTGGCCCTACAAATACCTGCACTAAAGCACCAGGATATATCGTAAATATTTCTCTAGCATACAAGTAATAATAATTACTTGAACCTTTGAACTGTCAGCCTGCATATACTTTCAATGCATAATGTTTGGATAGCCATCCATTGGTAATCATATGTTTTTCTCTTTATATTGCTCTCCCTTCACAGCTGAGGTTGGCCTCCTTGACTTCAGGAAACCATATAAAATATTATTTATTTGGAGCATTTCTATCCCAAATGTCTCAGGATGGCAATACAAAACAGTATGGTGGCAGCATACAAAAATATAATATAAATATACAATAAAACCATTGTTAAAAACCATAGTTAATACTTAAAATATGGGAAAATTAAAAGCTTTTGGCCTGGCACAGAAATGGATAAAGTATGGGTGTCAAGTGCAGCTCTGTGAGAAGCTGGTTCCATAGCCGGGGTGCTACCACAGAAAAGGCCCTGCTCCAGGTAGCCACTCTTCTGATGTGCCTCAGAGGGCTCCCAAAGATCTTGGGGGATGGGCAGGTGTATACGGAAGATGGTCTTATTAATACTGAACAAAATCCACAAAGGCTTTGAAGTGACATCTCCTCCCTCAAAAGGGTTTATCTCCATTCCCCTTTACAACAGAAGGGCCGCATAGTGCACTGTCTCCTGTCCACTCCCCAGTTTCCCAAATGTGATGCCACACCTGAACCCAGAACTCTGGGTTGTTGACAGACAAGCATGCTTGAATGCATAGTTTGTTGTTGTGTTGAAACGCTGGGTTTTTTCTCTTTCACCTGCCAAGACTTCACATCAAACTATCTAGGAGGAGGCTGTTCCTGGGTTTGAAAAACTAGATGCAAAGTACAAATAGTGAGCAGGTAGGAGGCATTGTGCTCACTCACCCCCATGTATCCCCACCACTCATGGCTAAATGCACATTCTTGTGTTGTGAGCCACCCAGAGGCAGGACCGTCTTAACAGCATTATGGGCCCCGGGCAAAGCAGTGTACTGGGGCCCCTACGACAACTACAACTACTGTTAATTTTGGAAGTTTTCCAATTTTCTAAGGGTTATCATACACAGATTAGTATGGGGCCCACGGGCAAGTGCCCATGAGGCCCATGCATTAAGATGACTCTGCCCAGAGGTGCTGTGGCACAATTGGATGGCATACAAATGTTTTAAATAAATAAGTAACCCATGGATTCTTGTTATATTCAAACTGGCTCACCAAAATTATCAGGGGCTACAGTCCAAGCTCTGTGGGAAAATAATGCATGATCATTCAATGAAAACATTCTGTAAGAGAAATGGACAGAACACCCTCTGTTCATGTCAAGCTAAGAATGCTTATTTGTATGTATCAGAGCTGTGATATTAAGGTGCAAATCTTACCACATGGCAAATCTTGCAGTGCCTCTCCATATGTCTACTCAGAAGTAAGTCCTATTAAGTTCAAGGCAACTTACTTCCACTTAAGTCTGTATAGGATGGTTTCTAATCTTATCCTTGTGGAAAAGGTTTAGCAAGTAGCAGCATTGTGTGAGGGGTCATGAAGGTGGACCTGGGTTCAAACCCTGGCAACAATACTCTGCTGGCTGGACCAATGGACTTACTCACTCTAAGGCAGCTTCCTGTGTCCTTCCTATGTCCTAACTAACACAACCAGTGAAGACAACACCTAGCCCAATGGAATTGGAATGCATTATGGTTGTACCAGTTGTGTTTGGGCAACAGCTTGCATTATACCTTGCACAAAATCAGATTATTAAATGTGACACTTGTGCAAGAATGTGCAAGACTGACAACAGGAGCTTCAGTGAATTATGGAAACGTTGGGTTACTGGAATAACACCAGTGGGTACAAGCTATAAGCTTTAAAACCCAGTGGCCACAATTGCCTGCCTACTATTTGCTTAGGTTTCACTAATAGTTCTGCATCGCTTGATGACAGTTCTAGCAGAAGGGCAGCAAAGAGAGTTAGGAACTGGACTGCAACTCATACGGTCTTGCAAACACTGCCTATCTAAAGATTGCTAGAGTTATTATTGGAGAACAGTCTGTAGATTAAATTCTTAAAAAGCAAATAATCACACTGAAAAACTAGGCTACAAGAATATAGGAATCAGTCACTGAGTAGATTACTTTGTTGAATGGGAAATACCTAGACATACACACAGTTATTGATTTTAAAAGAATGATAAATATCAATTATAGAAATTGAACAGAACGTTAGAAGTGTTTGCAACAAGATTCTTTGCATGTTATGGAACAATGGAAAACAGAGTCAAAGCTAAGTGTATTTCAACACTATCGTTTTCAGCATTTCTGATGACATTCCCTCTACCTATCTTGCAAGAACATAAAAATAAAAAGGTATCAAACTTTATTTAGAAAGAGACAAAGACATGGCAGTTTTAACTACCTTGCAGAATCCAGTCAATGTGGGAGGATGAGGGAATAAATTTAAGCTTTACTATCATGCTGCAAAGTTGACAGTTATTGTGGCTTGGTATATGAATATGAGGGTCTTACTGGAACAACCAGAATGTGCAAAATACTTGCAGGCCTGACCAGCACTCCTGGACTCTCTCGGCAAGGGTGGGCATCCTGCCAGCCTTTTCTCCCACCTGGCCTAGTCTCTCCACCAGGCCCCTTGTCCTCTCGTTAGCCTCTCTCTCTTGGCTGATGCTCCAGCTGGCTGGATTGAGGCACTGCTGGGAGAAGCTCCAGTCCTTGAAGAAGAACCCTGCCTGCAAGACCACCTGCTGCAGCTCCCACCTGGCCTGGCCAGCCCTGGAGGCAACACCCTGGAGGGGAAGATGCCAAAGGGAGTTTCCTTTCTTGGGGGAGCTGCTTTGGAGAGGGTGCAAGGACAGGCACCCCCCCACACATGCACACACAAAACAGTGTTGCTGTTCTGTGTGCCTGGGAGAAGGGGGTTTCTCTTCAGGAATGTATGGAGGACGGGACCAAGTGCAGGTTTCTGATGGGGGTGGGCAATCAGCATAGTGATAGGTAGGAGGAGACAGGACATTGCATAGAGAGCTAGCCAGGTAGGGGAATGCAGCCCAGGCAGGTATGTTGTTGTGAACATATAGCTGTTGGATGGCATAGAAATTAATTAATTAAATACATACATGCATACATACATACATGCATGCATACATATAAAAAGTAAAGATTGCTTAGCCCTCTAACAGGTTAGGGTTAGGGTTAGAGTTAGGGTTATGAAACATATTTACACATATGCTATGTCCTGGAATTTCCCTCTTAACATGAATTTATTATAACAAGGACATGGTAAAGAAAAATGAAGCCGGCTCTGCATCCTATTAGGAAGTCTGTCAAGACATGGCAATTTGCTCAATCAAAATCTAGTGTAAATATTGCTGGTAGCCCTCCTTCTCCTATCAATATTTTCAATATTTCAATATTACATTGAAAGATTTATAGAACAAGTGATCTTAAAAATTTCACATCGCATCAAAAGTTTCACATCAAAAAGAAGAAATTATTGGAGGAAAACTCAATATTAGCTTGAAAATATTCAGGCTAAAAGCAGTAATTTTGCGAAAAGTTAGATGGATATTTCAACAGGAGGATCTCCTATACTATATTGCTATGGATTTGGAACACACTACCTTGCTATGGGTTGGATCATGCGCAGTGGAATGCCAGTGGTACTTTTCTTCGACTCCGTCTTTTCCATGCAGTAGAATGTTGGCACTGTGCTTTCTTCTTCTGGATGCCACAGCAGCCTAACACATGACCTCACAATTATAGTTTAAGATATATTACAAGTCCTAAAGAAAGAAGAGAATCAAAAGACCAGTATTTCTGTATATTTATATCCAATTATTAGGTTCTATCCCCCATGTGTGATTGTGATAGAAAATGTTCTTAATGTAAGCAAATACAAACAAAAAACAAAAAACTGGGTGGCGGTGGAAACACTGATTCAATTGATCAATCCAACATTATGTAGAATACTGTCATTCTAGCACTCCAGGCCAGTAAGAATGTAACTGGAGTCATGTATATGGCCAAACAATAAAATAAAACAAAGAGGTAAAAATACAACTGGAAAATAGTATAATGCACTGATAAAACGCTACAGGATTAGCTCATTTGGAACGCTATTCTTATTTCTGGTCACTTGGCTTTACAAAGGATATCACAGGGCTGGCATAGGTGTAGAAAAGCGAAAACAAAATGATCAGTGGTAAACCAATTCCCTTAAGAGAAAAGGTTATCATATCTGGGGATCTTTAGTTTTAGGGAAAGAAAAGGTTAATAAGGACATGGTAAAGGTTAATAAAGTTATACATGATATCAGGTGAGCGTAGAAAGCTTTTCTCACATTCTTAGAATGCTGGAACTCTGGAGTCATTTAACAAAATTGATTGAAAGTGGATTTGGGATATACACAGGGCCGTCTTAACAGCATTATGGGCCCCGGGCAAAGCAGTGTACTGGGGTCCCTACGACAACTACAACTACTGTTAATTTTGGAAGTTTTCCAATTTTCCAAGGGTTAACATACACAGATTAGTATGGGGCCCACGGGCAAGTGCCCATCAGGCCCATCACGCGTTAAGACGGCCCTGGATATGCATACTTACAGGCATTTATTTATTTATATATTTAGCATATGCCAGGGAGTCTGCAATGTTGTACACACAGTAAATGTTCTGGCACGTGCAGTTACTAGTCTGTTATTGTGTTGGTGCACCATGGGCGGTGGGGGGGGGGTGGGCGAAACTAGCATAGCACCAGTTGGCAAGCAATGTTCAACAAGAACATTGTTGAACAAGTCAGTTCATCCAGGACTTTTCTCCACCAATTCTCTGCTGAGCGCATCCAAGCAGATCCAGTGTCAGTGCACTACTTTTACTGCAAAAAGAGCCAGCAGGTTTCCCACTGAGGAGTGGTGGTCCTTTGTTGTTGATGTTGCTGTTAGTTGCAAAGTTGTGTCCGACCCATCGTGACCCCATGGACAACATTCCTCCAGGCCTTCCTGTCCTCCACCATCCCCCGGAGTCCACTCAAGCTCACACTGCCTGCTTCAGTGACTCCATCTAGCCACCTCATCCTCTGCCGTCCCCTTCTTCTTTTGCCATCTATTGTTCCCAGCATTAGGCTCTTCTCCAGGGAGTCCTTCCTTCTCATTAGGTGGCCAAAGTATTTGAGTTTCATCTTCAGTATCTGGCCTTCCAAGGAGCAGGCAGGGTTGATCTCCTCTAGGACTGACCGGTTTGATCGCCTTGCGGTCCAAGGGACTGACAGGAGTCTCCTCCAGCACCACAATTCAAAGGCCTCAATCCTTTTGTGCTCAGCCTTGTCATCTCTTGTTTGACCACATCCAGCTTGCCTTGATTCATGGATCTTACATTCCAGGTTCCTGTGGAGTATAGGTCTTTACAGCATCAGACTCTCCTTTCACCACCAGATACATCTGCAACTGAGTGTCCTTTCAGCTTCGAGGCAGTCGCTTCATTCTTTCTGGCGCTACTAGTACTAGCCCTCTGCTCTTCCCCAGTAGCATATTGAATACCTTCCAACCTGAGGGGCTCATCTTCCAGCATCATATCTTTTTGCCTTTTGGTCTGTCCATGGGCTTTTCATGGCAAAGATACTGGAGTGGGTTGCCATTTCCTTCTCCAGTGGATCACGTTTTGTCATGATGTCCCTGTTTATCTACCTGCAAATGTTATGCTTTCAGATTTCTAGTGGGGGCAGGAGCTTGGGGAGGACAATAGGAATTCACTCCATCCTGTGAGGCTGGACTCAAACTGCTGGAGTGCTGATCATTTCTGATCAACAGTTCCAGCATCATTAAGCTGTTGCACCACTGTGCTCTCCATACTTACTGAAAAACAAACCAAAATCAGAAATAATGCATCCATCTCTACTTGGTGCTATCCAGGTATTTTGCACAACCACTCCCATTAGGCTGAGCTAGAACAGTCAATGTGTTAGGATGATAGGAACTTATACACCATTATTTGTTTTTTTATATCCCACCTTTTCTTTAAGGAGTTCAAGGTGGCATATATGATCCATTTTATTCTCATAACAACTCTGTGAGGTTGGTTAGGCCACAGGTACCCAGTGACCTTGATAAATAACATTACATGTCAAGCGACTCTTAAAATAAGTGGGGTATTGCAGGGTTAGGTCCTTGGCCCTGTGCTCTTCAATATTTTCTATTAATGATTTGGATGAGGAAGTGCAGGGAACAATTATCAGATCTGCAGATGATACAAAACTGGGAGGGATAGCTGATTCCCTGGAAGACTGGAAGGGTGTGTGTGGATGCAGTAGCCTTCTGGTCCCTTCCAGCTCTACCAGTCTATGAGTCTATGACCTTTATGGCCAAGCAGGGACTAAAATCTGGATCTCCTGAGCCCCAGTCCAACATTCTAACCACCATGCCACAAGTTGGCCTTCAACGTGTCTAGTCCAACACTTCTGGAGGGTACCACATCAGGGAAGGCTGATTTAGAGGTTATTGAGCTGCAATTTTCCTTCTGATCAAGGCTAAACTATGGAAGATGCAGAGCCACTGATCAGGAATTTTATTATTTATTTATTTATTTATTTATTTATTTATTTATTTATTTATTAAAACATTTTTATGCCGCCCCATTCGCCGAAGCCTCGGGGCGGCTTACAACCTAGAATTGTACTCCAGAACATCTGAAGAGCAGCTAGTTGGAGACAGCTGACACAGTTTATGGAATTCATTGCAAGAAGATGTCGATGGCCACTACTTTGGGTGAGAATTAGACAAGTTCATAGAGGATGGGTCTCCCATCATGATAGTAGCTCTATAAGTGGGGCTTTTGGACCAAGTATAGTATGGCTTTGAGTGCCAGTTAATGGAAAACATCAACAGAAGAAAGCTATTGACATCATGTTCAGGCTGTCCTCAGATATTCCTGAAAATATCTGCTTGGCCACTGTCAGAAACAGGATCCAGAACTCAGGTGCCTTTGGTCAGACCAGCAGGATGTGGTCTGAACATAGTTTGCACAACATAGCTCTCATGAAATGTCAGAGTCCTGACATATGCAATGTTTTCAGAGGCTTCCACAGAAGAAAATGATCCCCAGATCATTACTGAAGTCAAGGCAAATGCTGACAATGCTCTTCTTCCCCAAGAAAGAAGATTCAAACAGTTTATGCATATTACACTTTGAGAACCTGCATTTTTATTGTAAAACAAAGTGGGCTAAAGCAATAGGTGGTTCTTCAGGTGTGGTTGGAATGTAGTTTCCATCAGCCCTAGCCAGCATAGCCAGTCATGAAGGATGATGGGCATTGCAGTTCAAACACATCTGGAGAGCACAGATTTTCCAATATAAGAATTCTGATGATCTACAACCTTATTTTTACTCAGGAGATCATGCCTGAGCTTGATGCTGCAACTCTCTTAACTTTAAGAAACAAAAAACAAAAACATAATTTTGTGATCATTGCAGGTCATATGTCAAGATATTTTCTCTCTCTCTCTTGAGGACGATGCACAAACTTGCCTATTAATTATAGGTTTCTAGCTGTATAATTTTGAAGTACATTTGAGCAAAAATTGATTTTCAAATGGAGGACTTAACTGGACTTTGACAGGGAAGCTAGTGTGTTGGTGTGTTTTAAAAAAGATTTCTGTGTACTGTGTGTCCTTGCTATTTAAAGATATTGAAGAATGACCATCATCTGGGTTTAGCAAGAACACACATTCAGATTAATTGGTCAGAAAACAATAGCAACAACTTTGGTTTGGTTCGTATTTCAATTTTCACGGAGCTAAGTAAGGAAGAGGTACAAACCGTTTTGACACTGTAGTGCATTTTCTGATGCCAAAATGTAGGACTCTAGTAGAAAATGAGGAGGCAGACAATGCCATCTATTTATAGGGTATATTTGCCTGAGTCCCCTCCTTTGTACTCAACAACCATGGTCTTTCATGCAGAACCACTGTAGATGGACAGCTGTGTTTCTAAACATCTGTGGGTGAACAGAGCTCAGATGGGAGCTTTTATAAAAAAAAGGAGAGAGAGTGTGGTGGGGGGAGAGAGAGAGGCATCAACATATTCATAAGTTGGTACGGGAACAATGAAAGCACATATTGTAGGTCTGAAGGAAAAAAGGCAGTGTCAGCTTGCAAATTTTTTTCCTATGAAATTCTTTTTGCAGACGTCAGCATAAGCTTGCTGTACGAGTAAGTACTGCTATAAAGTCATGGAAAAGACAGTAAGGGGAGGCTTGACCAAACAGAGTTCAGTGAGGCTCAGAGTTATAAGCAGAATTTGCCTTGATTCTGGCTGAATGTTGAGCCAGGAATTGCCCAGTTAGAGCACACATTCTGAGAGAACTTCTTTGAGAAGAAAATAACTTTAGAAGAGATTTCCTGGGCTTCACCAGGAAATCAATAGGGTAAATCTATCCATACATACATGTGGGCACTACATGTATACGTCACTTGGCATTAACTCAGTCTTTCAGCATCTCTAATCTCATTCTCTTTCTTAAGTGGTTGACGCAGAATGCTGAGTTTCAAAATATGCTTTTAAAAAGATGAAAAGTCTGAAGGTATTTGTTCAGAACGGAGGTTCCCATTAGCACTTATTTATTCGTGACATTTGCGTGCTACCCCATAAGATAGAGTTCTCTGGGCAGCTCACAAGAAACAAACATAAAAATGATTTAAATGCAAAGCAATACTTAAAACCATAAAATCAAATGCAAGATAATATACAATCACAAAACAAAACTCAAAGCACCTGGAATTAAACACACATAT